GAATCCATGATGCCAAGAAACTAGTTGATGAGCCGAATAAGGCCCGGAGATACCTAAGGACACTTTGAGCGCGAATGTTTTAAGCAAGCCTGAATCTGTTATAGCAGGAGAGGCGCTTTTTCAATACCAACCGTGCCGTTCCGATGAGCATCGTTTTGATTCGTAGAAACATCTTATGAGGAGAGGAGATTGCCGTCGTAACAAATACTAAGATGACAAGGTGAATTGGAAAGGAGATAATGGTTGTTGGGAGCAATATACATATCAGCTACAGCTTCGACAAGCAGCATGGTGAATATGGACACACTATGCTTGTCCACGACGCTCCAGGCCGACAGAATTTTCTTGTTCGAGCAAGCTTTTGTGGTGGTTCTTCATGCTCGATTGGAAGCGTTGGAATTGTGTACCGTGATCACAAATCTCTGTTCTCAACAATGGCGTGTGAAATGTACATGTACGTTCATTGGTGTTATGAACTTATGAAAAGTATCATGCAGCTTGTAACCACATTGACCTAACGCTTCTGGTGGTTGAGGTAACGCAGAGCAATCAGCCCGACGACGCGGTAGAGAACGATACAACCGATCAGGATGAAGAAGAAGTGCGTGATTGAGTCGTGCTCGTAGCCGAAGTACTGCTCCGTGTACTCCTTGATGGTAATGTGGCCCACAGTCACGGGGGAATCCGCCATCGGCTGGCATCCGATTTTCGAGCCAACGTTCTCGTACGACTGGGTAGTCTCGTTCCACGTCGGAAGCTCATCACAGTCCGCAAACACCAGAGCCTCCAAAATCGAGAGGGGGAATCGCAAGGGGGAGGTTTTGTACAGCCATGTGTAGCCGGACGGGATCGAATAGGCCGGAGGACTGTAGCCCATACCCATCATGGTGACTGTATTGAAGAGCAGTCCGAAGATTGACGCTGTCTCCTCCGACGGCATCAAGAAGGCGAACATCATCCCCTGGTACACTTGCATGAGAATCAGGAGCGAGATCGTCAGCCAGAACACGACTCCAGTCCAGAAACCCGTGAAGCCCACCATCGGGTAAAACACAATCGTGAAGAGGAGGCCGCTGCAAAAGCAGTAAGGGATTTCAGCCAGTGTCGAGCCCACAAAATACCACAATGCATTGTACGTCTGCGACGCGCGTTCCCGGTAGTACGAGGCACGCTCGGAACAGGCAAGAGGCAGGATGCTCTGGAAAGTCATCATTGCTTGGAAGAGAGCAGCCATATACACCATTCCGACTCCAGAATTGAGGCCCGTGTAGGACGCGTAGTCAGCGTCAATAAACACGAGACCAATGACAAGTGCGAGGAACACAGCAAGGATCATACGCGTGAGATTGTAGCTTGGTGTGCGCCAGTACATCTGGATGAATCTGGTCACGACGAACTTCATCTGCGTCGTCGAATTGGCAGCACGTTTATCAGCGAAGATCATCTCTGGAAGGTCCGGGGAGGGCGTTGTGATACCTTCCTTAGCAAGGTTGTTGTGTAGAGCCTCACTGAGTGGACTGTTGTTGAAGTAGCTCACGAAATCCGTCTGGTTACCCACCGAATTGTTCACACCGGCACCAATGCACTCCAACATCCACGTCGCAGGATTATAGCCAAGCGGCAGTGAAGCCACGCCTGGGATACTCTCGAAGTACTCGATCAAGTTACAGCAATCTCTGCCTAACTCACCGTAAAACACCGTCTCGCCTCCACGCTTCAGCAACAAAAGACTATCGAACAAGTAGAACACCTCCGCCGAGGGCTGGTGGATCGTGCAGATGATCGTACGTCCTGAGTCAGCAACCTTGCGAACACCGTCCATAATCAACTTAGCCGAGCGCGCATCCAGACCACTTGTAGGTTCGTCCAGGAAAATAACACTCGGCTGAGCAGCGAGTTCCACGCCGATGGTCAAGCGCTTCATCTGTTCGACTGAGCTGCCGCGAATGATCTGGTCAGCGATGTCCTCCAAACCCAACAGTTCAATACATTCGTTGACCGAGTCGTACTTCTTTTCATCCGGGATCGAGGCGTCTTGGCGGAGGAACGAGCTGAACGTCAACGCTTCACGAATCGTAGCAGCCTCTGAGTGCACGTCCATCTGCTCACAATAGCCCGTGCACCGGCGGATAGCAAGGTCGTTCGCTTCGTAGCCGTTCAGCAAGATCTTGCCAGTGATTTTGCCTCCAGTCTTACGTCCAGCGATCACGTCCATCAGCGTCGTCTTGCCTGCACCTGAAGAGCCCATGAGAGCAGTGATCGATCCAGGGACAGCAAAACCGTTGATGCCCTTAAGTAACTCGAGGGATTCCTTGGGGTTGTGCGGATCGGGCACAAAGTAGTGAAGATCTTGGAAAGCCATGGTCACTGGGATGAAGTTCTTCTCATGAGCGTCTGGCTGGAAGTCCACGACACAGTCATCAGTCCCTGCTGCTCCGTTGTTCTTGGGCGTCTCCATCATCGTGTAGGATTCATCCTCGATGATTTTCTCCGACACATCCACGTTCTCAGGAGTCTCATAGCGGAGATATTCGAGTGCAAGACCCGACAAGATCATGAACACCACGTAGATAGCAGCCATGTAGATAATGCCGTAAACGACCCACGATTTTTCCGTGTCAAGACCAAACAAGTCCAAATAGTACTTGCCCATTGTCATTCCGTACTTCGCACAGTAATCCACGCCGTCGTAGACACACACGTCCATGCCACTCGAGCGATATTGGTTGATAGACAACGCCTTGACACTCCAGCTCATGGGACTGATCCAGTGAGCCCAGATCAAGTAGTCCGGGATCTGATCCGTAGTAACGATGAAGCCTGCGAAGATAACGAAGACCAAGATGGAACACATGCCCAACGGAGTGACGATGTTCGCGTTGGGGCCAACCGAACTCAGGAAGAAGAACCACATTCCCATAGCCAAGTTCGTGAAGAAGAGAACGATCTCAAAGATGAGGAACAGGGAAAATTCGGCTTCAAAGCCACACAGGAAGTAGACGAGAGCTCCGAAGATGATCGTCTCGGCTACAACCAGTGGAATTTGACTAGCCGAGTTGGCAAGAACGTACGAGGCAGTGCGGAAGAAGTTGGCTCCTCGCTGCTTGTAGAAGATCTCGCGGTCGGCCATGTACGTTGCGATCTGGGACGACTGACCCATGGACACGAACATGACGGAGGAGAACACAACGCCTAGCACCACTGAGACCTGCGTGGGGTCGAAGTCGTAGAAGATTGTGCAGTACAGCAACCCCATGACTGTGATCATGAGGACTCTACCCAGGATGAATGGCTTGTTCCGGTACAAGACCATAGCCTGGCGTCTGAGCAACGTCAAGGTGCTTTCGACGAACGACTGACTGAACATTGGCATCGCTTTCATGTTTTCGTTCGCACAACGCAGTAGCTCCTGGTCGTGTGGAGCTTCCAAGAGATGAAGCATGTTCTGGTGAATAGGAGATCGGCGGAAGGCTTCCGCAAACTCACTAGCTGTACGAGGCTGTTTCTTGGGTTGTTGAACCTGGTAGCGATACTGCTCGGACGTGCCTAAATCCAAGAGATAGTCGGCAATATCGCGTCCAGGAGGACATTGAAAGCCCAGTCCTTCGAAGTAACCCTCGACTTGGCTGCACGGACCATGGTACATGAGTTGGCCCTCGTTCAGAATCATCACATCGTCGAACAACGAAAACACCTCCGGGGAAGGCTGGAGCAGTGCGATGACAATATTCTTGTGCAGCTTGTGCGCGATACTGCGCTGCGTGCTGATGATATCGTACGTAGCTGCACTGTCAAGACCCGTGCTGATCTCGTCCATGAGCGACACATATTTCATGCCGAATTCCATCTCACCAGTCGTGACACGCTTGCGCTCACCACCAGAGATACCTCGAGTCATGGCGTCACCAACGATAGTGTCCTGGCAGTTCTTCAGTCCAAGTTGCTGAAGGATAACATCCGGGTAGTGCGCAAACAGAGCCTTTGCTGCTTCGAGAGCTTCCTGATTCTCCTGTGTCGAGCCATTCTTCAACAAATCTTCGTTGTGCTTCGACAAGGTACTGCCACAAAACTTGTGAGCGAACTCCAGCGTCTCCTTGACGGTTAACATGGGGAAGTGCTTGTCGCGCTGGTTCACGTATGACACGAACTGAGGCAACCGCTGGATGATCTCTTCGCGTTGGACGTTATTGAACGAAATGCTGCCTTCCACCGTGATATTCTTCTCAATGGGGAATCTCCCGCTCAACATTTTCATGAGAGACGACTTGCCGGAACCAGGCTGACCCAGTAGCAGCGTGATCTTGCCCGGAGCGAAGACACCGCTGATGTCTTTGAGGATTTCCTTGCGTACCACGCGCTTTTTAGGTCCCACGAAGGCCTTCTTCATCGTATTGGGGATCGTCGGTAGTTCGTACTTGGCACCGGAATCTTCCACCACGACAATGTCCGCAGAGACAGACAAATTGCGGAAACGCACGTCCATTTGAGGGATCTCATGACCGAGTGCTTTCTCGATCTTCTCGGCAATGTGTTCGTTCAAAGCTTGAGGGCCTTCAGCCATCAAGGCATCGGCTGACTCGTACCCGAGTTTCTTGCGCTCCGTCATCTTGATTGTCGAGTCTTGGTCGGCAGCAAGGATATTCGAGAATGAGCTACCAAAATCGGATCGAGAGGCTTAGCATAAAAAACGAAGCAACAACAACGTATGTGCCAGGCAGGCAGGAGAACGAAGCGACGAGAGTAATCGAATCAATGCCAAACCGTTTCTACATTCGATATGCGTGATAACGTGTCCTGATAACACGGTAATCCCTGGGCGGTTCTTGAATTCGATTGGCGGAGACGGCAATGATTACTTTTGACAATGATTCACATCAGGCAGCGCTGGCATCAACATTGGGCTGATGATGCCAACAGAGTATTTGGAAAAGACGATGGCGTGTATTCCCTTGCCTATCCGTAGGCGTAAGGTTTTGCCTTATCGACATTGAATACGCGATTGGGTTGGAGTATGCGTCGCTAGCTGATGATAGTTTTTTCCGGTGGAAAAGGCTACCTTTGTCACAGTATCCTACCAAGCCGATGATGGCTCTCTTACAAGCCAACAGCAAGTGGTTCTTAGCAAAGGACTGGATCCATACATCCAAAATGGGATGACTTTTGCGTAATGTGATGCCGTAAAATAAACACCCACTCATTCTGCTGAAAAGGCAGTGCGTGATA